GGCAATAGCCACACGGACCAACGACAAGGACCAACGACATGAACCAACAGCATGGACCAACGACATCAAACGCATATGCAGCAAACGCATATGCAGCGAACGCATATGCAGCGAACACATATGCAACATAGACATATGCAACTTCTACATATGCAGCGAACACATATGCAACATAGACATGTGCAACTTCTGCATATGCAGCGAACACATATGCAACATAGACATGTGCAACTTCTACATATGCAGCGAACACATATGCAACATAGACATGTGCAACTTCTGCATATGCAGCAAACACATATGCAACTTCTACATATGCAGCGAACACATATGCAACATAGACATGTGCAACTTCTATGGGGTTCCATTTGTTTCAAAAATACGTAGAACTCTAACGTGTAGAGTGTCGTTGCTATGTGTCGTAGTATTGTTCATTTTATTTCCAGTCACATTTTTTACTAATTATTTTATTTTTGTATTTCATTATTTATTTTTGCTGTTTTTCCAACTACTTTATTTATTTATTCCAACTTTTTTTTCTTGACACATTATTCTACATTTATTTCCCATTATGAAAGGTTTGGTCCTCCATATTTTGCACGTACAGGGTTTTGTAAGCGTCTCATGACCTATTGGGGGCGCGCTTTGCTTGTTTTGAAACATGCTGCATTCAGGTAACTTTGTTAATTTTCATTTCCACATCAGGAATTCAATTACTTGTTTTATTAAGTCACAGTTTTGATGTGACTTTGCAATAAATAGTTTAGAACCTAACAATTAAAATAAGAACGAATGCTAATACAATATTTTAATAAGAGTAGACCAAGCTTCAACACATAAAAATGAATATTACGAGGCTCCAGGTGAAAAAGAAGGCAGCAAACACAACTTTGTTTCGTCACTTATCATGGCTGCTCCCGTCGCTCTCATTCAAGGAGCCAGCAGAGGGCTGGGCCTGGAGTTCTGCAAACAAATATTAAAGAAGAAAAGTTCCGCTGCTGTTTTAGCGACATGTCGAAACCCGGACGCTGCTGCCGAGCTGCGGGTCCTTGCTGGCCAACACCCGGGCAGGCTGACGGTTTTGAAGCTGGACGTGAACCTCGAGGAGGACATCCGCGCTGCAGCAGCGCTGGTTATGGGGGGCTTCGGTCGGCTGGATCTCCTCGTCAACTCCTCAGCGATGCTTCACCCCTCAGGGAGAGGAGAGACGAGCCTGAGGGATGTTTCTGCACAGGTAGAACAGAATGTTTCACATCAAAGTCTAGAAGTGTCAAGTTCCCTGTTAGTAAAATATCTCATGAATCACAGGATGGATTTTAATGAAACTTTCAAGAAATAAAGCATTGCAAGCACATCTACAACTGCCACGTGACGTTTGAAAACACATGAAGTTTTAGGTCTATAATGTGAACAAAAAGCTTATTCATAACTCTTGTTAAAACCAATAATTGTGACATCATTTTTCTCTTTAGGATGTCATTTCCACCTTCACGACCAACGCTGTGGGTCCCCTGGTGATGACCAGATATTTTGCCCCCCTCCTTCAGAAAGGAAGCGGTGGCTTTGGACAGCAACCTGCAGAGAAATCCCAGCAGCACAGTGGCATCATCGTCAACATCACAGCTAAAGTGGGCTCCATCGGAGACAACGGTATCTGCTGTCTTGCAGATGGTTTATGAACATTTGGAAGCTTCATCGCGGGTTTATTGTTACAAGAGAAAACACACAAGTTTATAAAACAGGTGTGTAATGATTCATCTTGTCCCAATCATTTGTCAGGACTTGGTGGGTGGTACAGCTACAGGATGTCCAAGGCAGCGCTCAACATGGCAACCAGGAATATATCTATAGAGCTGGGCCGCGGTCGACCCAAGGTGAGCGAGATTAAATTTGACATTACCGATACGTCTGTGATGGCTGAGAATGCTCACCTTGTGCAGCTTTAAGAAACATGTGCAAAGGATGGTAAATTAATATTAAAAACTAAAAGCTGCACAAGCATTTGCAAATTTAGTCTAATAATTGAAAACATGGATGAAATAAGAAATATGAAACAAATAAAATGCATACAAAGCAGAACACAGCTAAATGTATCTTGTCTATGTAACATTAGAATTTTCTGAGACAGTGGGCCTCATGCAAGAACATGTTCGTATTCTTATCCTAAATTTCTCTTACTTTTGTTCGTACAAAGGGTTCGTACGAACATGCCACGTCAGATTCAATAAACTCTTCTATTCTTCAGGAAAAGTGTGTAAATGAGCTG